ATTTTTGCCAGCTTAGTAAATATCGGTCCCAAAATGAAAGTATTAACCCAACTGCGCTCTCTCGTTTAAAAATTCGCATCTTCGATACTAAAGCAAGTAGCGTCTTGAAATTTCAACAGTCTTTGCAGGATTCGTCGGTCTAAATATACGGAAAGTTTCATTCATTTTGCATTAAGTCCTGATTTTTGCCAGCTTAGTTCGGTTCAGCTTCAAAAGATCGGTCTTTTTTGCGTCATTTCAGTTGCTTTCGCCTTAAAGTGGGCCCTCAATGCTTTATGAATTAAGGCATATTGTGGAGCTTTTTGGGATCAGGTTCAATTAAGTCTGATACAGAGGATACAAGTTTTGCTTTTATTACCACAACCAAAAATAAACGGATTTTTACAACAATCTAACAAACATTGAGCTCTCGATACCGATCACTTCGGACACAAAATATATTTAATATTAAAGTTCTATAAGAACAGCACACGATCAACTGAAAAAAGCACATTTATATCAAAACGCAAAAAAAATCAATCCTGTACAACATTCGAACAATGCGTAGATTAATAAAAATGAAAAACTCTACACTTACATATAAAAACTTGCACTTGAATGGAAGTTCAATAGCTGCCCAACTATAAGCCCAAAATGTAAACTTACAGAAAAAGAGAGTGTATTTTAGAACTACGTTATGCAACTTTACTAAAACTATGTACATATTCCTTAATTTAGAAGGCGGGATAGAGAAGATTCAGCTCCGGCTGGAATACTCCGAAATGGCCCGATTTTAGAAGTTTTTAAACATTAACGTTAATCGCCTAAAAAACACATTTAACTATATTTACACTTGGCAGGCACTTGGGTGTCTTTTACAGAGCCACGACCATGCAATAACTGAATTTCGCGCAAAAGTGCTGACGCAAAAGCAAAAAATGTACCAAATGAATCAAAAAGGTAATAAATCGATAATTCATTTTATTGTATCATTGGTCGTAGCTCCATTTTCCGATGTTTATGCACAAGAACTTCGGAAAGCTTCGAGACAAATAAAACTCTATTCAACCATCATTTTTTCTAAAAGATTCGTTCATGCGGCTGTTGGTCGAAAGTGGTGAATTTTGCGGGCATCGCGAAGATCGTAGCAATGCGTGCTAGCGAAACATCAGGAAGACATTATTTTCACGACAAAACTCACCAATTTCATACCGAACGCCGTCTATTTGCAAATTACCAAAAAAAACAATGTACGATTTACATTAATTTTACAGTCCCTTAGCGTAATGTGGCTTAATTTGCACACAAACCATCACTAAACCTACCTTATACCTACATAAAAACGGATTTTTCCTCACCTAAAAGAACAACTGCACAAACATAAAATTAAAAAAGCAAATATTTAACCCAAAAATATATTTAACTAAAATAACTGGCAACGTTGAAAAGACGCAAATGATCAACACGTATCTAACAATAAACATGAGCTAATTTTACAAACATCGGACATGAACGAAACATAAAAAAATATATCTGCACGCAATTAATGTACAAAAATAAAAAACAACAGCATTTTTGACAAATAAATAAATAGAGAAGTTTAATTATAATACCAATATTGCTAATGTATATAATGTATCACATAAAGTATAAAGATAAAATAGTACGTCACCTATTTACAAACGGCTGTACAGCGATACGAGGATTGAGTTCCCGAAAATAAGGTGCTTTATACAAGAAAAACATTCCCTACCATTATAATTAAATGTTATTTATCGACGGATTATTTTACAACATAGCCATTGGTATGCGTGAATGATGATGATACCTAGCGACCGGGTGATTAGAATGAAAAACTTGTTATAAAATAAAACGGAAAAACACGCTTAACAAGAGAATTTTAGACCAAAACGGTCGGAAAAGTGTATATGTTAAGTTGTAAAATATAAAATAAATACAGAATTTTTCATTCCTTTAATTTTAGGTTTTATCCAACATATACCACGTTCCTTTCCAATACACTCACCGGGGTCTTTTATTAGCCTGGATGATATGCGGGGTTTAAAATCGCAAAAACTATTAATAAAAATCATGAAGAGTTAGTGTTTAAAGCAACCCTTGTGGCATTTACGGCTGTCCGTTCAGCTACTTCGACAGCCATTTGCTGCATACCGGATTCGACGAACGTTTTGACGAGAGACTTCATGATCTGCAACGGAAAACACGGTAAATATCGAGCAATTTCTCTTGCCTAATTACACATGTCTATTGATATGTTCAACCAATACAGTTTCCTATTTAAAAAAAATGAAATGGTTCAACAGGCCACTCAGTTGTGCAGCAAAATAAAATGTATATACCAGATATGAACTACCAATCGATACTATTAAGCGTGATTTTTAAATACCAAGGTACACGAAGCAAGATTCAAGTGGCCATAACAGAAGGTTTGCATATAAGTTGAACAGTGTGATACATAAGCTCATGCAAGTACAGTTGTCTGATACATACTCTGTTTTCTAAGTTTTCGTTTTTTAAAATAGGACCGCTAGAACGAAAAAACACCCTTTATTGATTAGTAAATTTAAACTGGAAGTCGAGATTAGTTGGCTTGTTTTAGCAGTGAATTCGAAAAGTTTACAGCGAGCGAAAACTGCCCTGCAATTACTCGCAGGGCTATTTGGAAATACTCCATTATTAATTGGCTGCAAACTTTTCAAACGCCACCATCCATGATGATCTCGCTGAATTTTTATTGTAAAAACCGCAACTTACGTTCTCCCATATGAAGTTGGCTGATTCATCGATCACCTGCCCAATCTCCCTCATTTCGCCGCTGTACCTGTAACAAATCAATTTGCTTCTAATTCAAGAGATGCGAGTAAGTGAGTATCCTCACCTAACATAGGCCCAAGTTACCAATACCATAAAAGCTGCAGCCATGCCCAGGTTGCAAATATTGGCTAGAGAGTAGAGTCCGAAGAGTCCGAACAAGCCAGACACAACGTAAAAGGCGATTGCCACTGCGAAAAACACTGCCGGAGTCCGCGCTGACTTGAAGATGTTTTTGCCTTCATTGTGAGACTTAAACTGCAGGAATGTTTCTTCAATGTCCTGAAAAACGCCCGAAGATCAATTCAGCTGCTGCAACTCAGCGCACACTCTTCTCACCTTTTCCAGTTGTTCCTTGTAAACTGCGCTGAATTCATCGCCGCCCATCTTCTTTTTCTTCTCAAACTGTTCGATAGCCTTGTCCTTAACCCGCTTATGTTCGTTCTCGATGGCTTCGGTTTTCATGTAGGGCTTCGTTCCGCCGCAAACGTCCTCCATTAACTGTATGTAGGCATCTTTAGCATCTGCCACTGCTGCAAGGTTATTTGCCTCGGCGGTCGCCTACAGTGGGGCACCATTAATATGAAAGCCCCATTAGGACAATAAAAACAAAACTTACCACAAGCATGGACTTTGGTTCGGGTAAGTCATCTCCTTCGTAGATTTGCATGTAGGATTTACAATACTGGACGAAATCCCTGACTTTAACGCGTTCCCCGTTGATCTTCTTCAAAACCAGGTTTTCTGGGGCCAGAATCATCGGCACAAGTATTTTCAGATGGTCTTTGAACTCCTGGTCGATTTCTGAAAGGGCCGAATTGCGAATGAAACGAACGAATCAACTGCAATTCAAACCGTCGTACCTGCTAAGCGGCCGTCAAAGGTTGGGCTTGTAGCCACTTTGATTCCGGGATGAGGCATCAGAAAGGAGGCGATTTCGGAAAAGCAGGACTTGATGTGTTTGCGCAACGATTTCAATTCGGAATGTTGATACTGGCTGACCTCCAAGCGCTTTTCCAGCATGGCCTGACCACCAACAGCCCCATACGGAGCCTCATAAGGAAATCGCCAGTCGCGTACTAGAAACTGAAGGCGTTGGAATGGTGTTTCGCCGGAACTCGCCAGCGCTAATCGCCCATATTCAGTGAAAAGCTGAAAAAACCATAAAACTCATTTCATGCAGCATTCCAACCGCAACAACCGAATTCTATTGACACATTTTTACATTAAATTAAACCGCTCGTTGTTGACTGGATTGCAAATTATTAAATTGCGATTTTTTTAATCAGCTTCATTTAGGTCAAACATGTGGAAAACAATTCGCTTGAACTGCTTGCCACAATTAGTAAATCGAATCAAATCCATAACACAGATAACACCGAAAACTCAAGACCCGTAAAAACTATTTCAATGTTATGTTGAATTTGCTGTGTTCAACAATGCACATAATCGAAAAGGCTTCAAAAATGCACTTTTGCTATTGTGTTACCTGCAGATGCTGCAGATCATCCTCTTGAATGTTGCCAGAAATATTGTAAATCTGCACTGAACTGATCATGGTGCTGAGAGCGAAAATAGTCGCACACTCTTTGACTGTGCTTTTGCTGTCCCAGGTGCCTTGTGTGTCCAATAGAATAATAGCAATCTGTAAAAAACCCATCATCAATCATGTTCATTCGCTCTGAGTTTTGCTGCGTGTTTCGTCAATGAATAAAATGGAAAAATTCCAAGCAATTGCAGCAATTTCGAGCTTCATCAGAATCAGCTAATTATTAATAATTACTTTTTGGGTTATTGCGGGTTCGTCAATGAAAATTACCCTGTGGACTTGATCGGCCTTTGGCTAGTTCAGACTAAGTGCAAACGCTGCTAAGCAAAATCACTTCAGTTTTACGAGTTTCCACTCAAGCATTTGCACAAATTTGAAGCAACACCGCGGATAGCGAAATAACCTTCACTCGCAAGTGGAAATTAACTAGGTAGCGATCATTAATAAATTCGATGTTGAGTTCAATGTAATTATTTCTTTAACAACACATTTTGTGCAATACTCTAGAATTTACTGCTTTCATAGTATTTCATGGCCTTAAAATGAGACAATAAGGGCAAGTAAAACGTACCTTTTCTCCTGTAGGCAGTTCAGTTAGGAACACTTCTGACCACATGAGAATACCGGTCGTATCACGTTCTGAGCCACCTCGCCACGAGAAGCCTTCCAACGGAGTATCTTCTGATCCGATCCAGTCTGATGTGTTTTGCTTATGCACATACTGAAACCGTTTTACTGTGTGAAAGAGCTTTGAACCAATTGAGCACATTTGTTGTATGCAAAGTATTGAATAAATCAATTAGATCAAAATCAATTAAACAATGCTCAATGAATTTTCATTAGAACTGCAAAGTGGGGCTCGGGTTGACTTACTTTGGAGCTCATGTAACGCAGGAAGAAATCGAGCAAAAAGGATTTTCCGTGACGAAAAGCGCCAGCTACAGACACAACCACTGCATATCTGTCTTTAAGTTCATCCCGCAGGAGGACTCGTTTCAGAGCCTCTTCGTCCAGTTTAAATGTGTGGTTGTCATTGGCCAGAATGATTGGAACGGCATGAGGCTTGTTCAAGGTGTCCTCATAGTCGGAGACCTCTGGAAAAGGGAACGATGGCTCGGTAACCCTTGAACTTGAACTTATTGCAAGGCTGTTTCGGTGACAATGACAAAAGCGTTTGGCTGGAACCTCATTAGTCGAAGTAATAATTGCAAAAGCGGGTTTTTTATTTGAAGAATAGATGGGCAAACTGGGGAAATTGATAAACGTTGCTTTTTTGCTCTCCAGCCATGAACACACATGTTCCATGATGTGATCTTAATTATGTTCAATGGTACCTTCAACAGACGAATCTTTTTCCACGACCATTTTTCCTCGTTGCCTCAGTTCACTCATGTTTTTCACTCTTTAATTATATAAAATTTCCTTTAATTTTCACTATTGCTTTTCTTATATCCTTACGAAGAAACGTCTAGTTGACAACTGTCCTTAGGGATGTGAAAAGCTTTGTTGTTGCCTTTGTCACTGAAGCATTCGATTGCGGAATCAGGCGGAATGTTGCAGAACGATCAGCTTTTGTCTCGCTCGCTTACATAGAGCTTTACGGGAGACAGCTGCGCTTATATCAACGTGGCCACTACACTCATCTCTATTGATGACCGAATTTATGCAACGCCAACCGTGATTACTTAATTTTCAGACGCACTTGACAACTTTATTGTAATCATAGAACATGGCTTATATAGAAACGACTCTTACTCATGTTGAAAGTGTGTC